AACTTCGTTTCCTTCGTGAGTGTAACAGATTTTCCAGTGCATTCAGCATACCAATACCATATTCATTTTCCATTAAGCTTTCTAATTCAATTTTAAAATTGAACTTCAAAGCTTCACCATTGCGAAAATGTTGGTAAAGGCGGGAACAGAGTGGAAATCCTAGTGCTTGTCACTGGTCAACGAGTCCATGTAGATCTTAATGTTCACGTTTCACTAAAGCAATTGAAAAGACCGCTTAATAGTAAACATGTTGTAGAACATGAAAACTCGGACCACCCACAAGTATCTTTCCAGAACATTCCAGCATGGGTTGAATATTTACCGGAACTTCACCTTCTAGTCGAAATCGAATCATCCATACTTACGAAAGAACCCTTTCAGGTCGTCTATAAGAACGATTGAATCCTCCTGGACTTGACACGGTTCTACGTGAATGTGGTCTAGACTCTAGTCACTATAGAGTAAATTCATCTCATTTTGGTTTATTTAAGTTCACATAACTTAAGTTTCACTAAATAATCGTATAGGCATTGTCAATTGTCAAATGCTCATAACTACACTATTTTCCATTGAACTGTCCGAAATTCCTTTACACTATGTTCTTTCTCAGATGCATATCAAGTTTCTTGTGTATTCCTATGTATTTTGTAGGTAACCAGATATAAATATTTTTATCCTTCCAAACATTAGGATGAGCTCATAAAACCTAAACAGAACTATTTCACACAGAAAAAACACCATAGATAAATAATTAAACCCTCCCACTATAATGTACCAATAAGGTTGTCAAAAGGTCAACATGAACTATTCAAATGTGTGTAGCGACATGTATTCAAGGAGTAGTTGCAACTCAACAGCTTGTGTGCGTTTTCGCAAGAACTGAGACGTACCAACCATGCAAAATATTACCCTCGAGTTAAAAGTACTTCCAACGAGCTATATTCAAAATAGTTAAATCAAAGACTCATGTCGGTATGTATAGAATAAAAGCAAATCAGATGACTTATGCAAGCGAGACAATTCCGATTTCTGTGCTATTTCTCTACGGTATCCCATATTAGTAGAATAAACCACTGCTGCATAAGATTTTCCAGTTTAAGTAACAATGATTGTTTAAAGAACTTTTAAAACACTACTATTAACTATTCTATATGAACGACTTGATAAGACTTCTGCCTTCATCGCATACAAATATAACTCGTTGGCTAAACGTCTAGCAACACCAACCCTCTCCATTGAGATCGCTTGCCTCGCTTGCCTTCAGTATTAGTCGTTCCTGTTCCTGAAAACTATGTGGTATTTTTAAAGATACATATGCCAAAACGCCTAATTCTGCGTGGTGACATGCTTCCAACAGTGCGCAACTTTTTGTCGTGCACATTGTGGTTCGCATATGATTCATTTTATCTGTTAATTCTTTCGCCAGTTTTTTTAAATCATATTTTTGTATTCAGTCGATACCTTCCTTAAGATAGATGTTTTACCCAGGGCGATCCCAGAAAGTCTACTTCCTACACATTGTAATTTTTATTATCATTATTACGTTATTACTGCTTTCCCCGAAATCAAATGAGTAACACTATGCAGATCACTGCACTGCATATCTTGCATTCAATTCGTCTGCTCGGCCGGTCGGCCATTCATGAAGGTTTTCGGATTTTCTACGCGTGGGCTCCGTTGCTCTTTGAGGATTTTCGTCCTCGCTATAATGTCGTTGAATACTGGTCGAGTCGATTTTCTCTGGAATCTAGGGATAGTCGAGCCAGAACGCTCCCAGTTGGATTGGAAAACGAGGACCGTTCATGCAAATGTGGCAGTAACTTCCTGACCACGGAGGAGATGAGGGATTTGGTTGGTCTACAGCCGCGTTAAACCAGGTTCTGGGTAGATTGGGTCGTCCACATAATAAATGAGACCATTACCATAGTCATTTGGACTACACACATTGTAATTAATACAAAGAAGGTATTTCACATTTTAAATATTAAAAATTGGCATCTATTCGTCCCTCTAGCATTTCTTTTGATCAGCATTACGCCATTTTTATACCGCTGAGCCTTCGACTGTCCTCTCTCTAGCTTCTATTCGATGATCTAATTTGTGAGTCTCTTCTTATTATGCAAGTGCCCATCAAATAGGTCATTCTCTAGGAGAACCTCTCACGCAACGAATCTGAAGGAATCCTTTCCGGAATGCACTACTACTTTTAACTCGTAAACGCCTTAAATGCATAAGTTGAATTATCGCTTATCTATTTTCCCTCTTTTTTTTGGGGAGTATTGAATGAATATGAATCTCCTTCTAAGCGGCAGGAAGGTCTGATCAATACAAATAACTTCACTAGAGTGCAGATTCTACTAAAATTTTTACACGACATTTTCAATGAATGGATTGATCTCGTACTACATGTCTTTTCCACATTGAATTCAGGAGGTGGGCCAATAGCGTTAAAATTTGCCTGCTGCCACTGCTTCGGAGCCATTGAGATACGGTCCAAAAACAAAACAGAAGCGCTAATAATTTATCAGCTATAGGAGTCTGATAATTTACAGTTGAAGGCAGAAATCAATAAATAGTCCCATTTCCCCATCAGTGTGGTCCAACCACAGCTACTTTACTATATCTATTTATCTCTCTTACATCCATATCTCAAATATCAGCCATAAATAATCCTTCACATATTCGCGACAATGCGAAATGATTTCAGCATGCAGATGAAGGGTAGACGTCGAGCAGAGTACATTTTCTTCTCTGGCTGCTTTTTCTGCCGCATAAAGCTTTTCAGTCATCATTTCTTTGTGTTATGTTCTGTTCTGTTACAAATGTTCTGTCTGTGTCGGTCAAGAAAACCTATCCTACAATTCTTAAAAACTGCTTTCCGACATTTTAGATCATTAAAATGATTCTGGAGCAAAAACACAAATATATGACTTTCAAATATGTACATAAAATTCACCCGTGAGAAACCGAAAGAAAACTGGCTTCGATTTCTAAACCTTCAAATTAACCTATCCGAGAATGGCTACAACACAAAATGGTATCGAAAGCCAAGCAGTAGGAATATAGTGGTTCATTATCGCTCCTCTCATCCCTCACACACTAAAAGTGCGCTTATAAGAAATATGTTTCGAACCGCCGCCAGAGTGTGCACAGGTAGAGAGTAGAGGGAAGAATCCTCGAAACTGGCGCGGCAAATAGCCATTTTAAATGGTTACGAAACTGTAGCTTCTCGGCATAGACATCGAGGAAATCCCACGGCCCAGAGCGATAATTCTAGTGAAAACAAGGCTCCGTTCCTGTTGCCATTTATTTCAAACGAAATAAGTGCAGCTATAAAACGCTGCTTAATAAGGACCGGTCTAGAGAATTCCGTAAGAGTGATAGAAATACCACCGGACACTAAGACGCCAGCTAGTTCGCAACCGCCTATACGACCGTCTATGTACAACAAAAAACCGCATAATTTGCCCAAATGGTAGAGACGGTGATTGCATGAGTTCAGGTACAGTCTATCTGATCTCTTATAAAGTGTGCCGGCACGAATATGTTGGCGAAACGGGTAGACCGCTCTGCGTCCGCATAAAAGAACACCTAGCCGGTAAATCTAAATTAAGACAAAATACTCCACTAGGCGCGCATAGGATTCAGGAACACAACGGAGAAGATTTCGAAGTAAGAGTCACTATCCTTACGCAGGAATCGAAAACATCAGCGCTAAAACTCTTGAAGCGTTTTGGATCAATACCAAAAATTCAAAGATGAACCGCAAGGAGTGTCTTGTTATCACGCGTGACCTGGCGCCATACCTCAGGCTAATCCAATGACCTGACACAGACACAGTTATTGCCGATGTATTACTCTGTGCGGCGGCTATCCATCAACTAACTTAAATACTTACAACAAATAAACGGTAGGTGTTTGAATGAAGCTGTTTCTTATGCGAATGCAAGTCGATTTGTCAAGTTTTATCTGCTACGGTTATGAAAGTGTTTGGCTGAGTAGATCACATCTCAATTTGACCTTTCCAGACTCTGAAGAAGGCGAATCTGCCGAAACGTCAGCTATTGTATTTTAATAAATTCTATATTAATAACCTCGTGTCTGCTTATTGAAGAAAAACATTGAATAAACAGGACTGACAGAACAGGGGACAAAGGACAGCAATGTGAACAAACAGAGTTTCGAAAAGGAATCCATGCGATGAACCACATCCACACCATGACAAGACACACTGAAGGAAAGCAATAGGACAAGAGAGCGCGTTGTCTTGTTTTCATCCATGTAAGGAAAACTTTTGACACAGCTGAGATACCCTGGACAGGCAGGGCGCCTATTGCTATATACTCCTATACATATACTCCTATACTCGCCATACATTGTATATATTATATATGTATATATGTAATATATATGTATACATATATATATATGATGCATATATATATATATATAATTCTTTGTAAACTATATTGAGGTTTCACAACAAGATTTCATTCTACGACGATATTAACGTCGAATTCAAAAGAGGAGTTAGGCTCGGCGACACCATCTCGTCAAAATTATTTACAGCCACCCTCGAGAACGTCTTGTGAACAATGGAATGGGACAACATGGTGGTGAAAATCGATAAACGGCAATTACATTATTTTCGCCTTGTTGATGATATCGTCCTTACAACACCAAGATTAACCAGGCAGAACGAATGCTAGCCGACCTTGATCACCCCTGTGGAAATACTGATCTACACTGAATTCCACAAAAATGTTGGGAAATCAACATGGTGTGAACGACTTAGCTCCGGAGTTGAGCAGGAGGAAACGAGCGGAACAGGGAGCTTATAAAAGCGTCGAGGATGTGAAGACACAAAGCACACCCAACTCCGTGGTGAACTTTTCGACTCCTGGTCGTTCTATATGCCATCCTGTCAAAGATAAGATGGACAAGAAATGTAATACATATGAACGACAACATATGGACCGCTGACCGGTCTTCTCGGGAAGTCAAATGTACTGCAGGAAGGTCATCGAACGATGTTCACAGCACAGTCCTTCATTTAAACCCTAGAAGAATGATACGATACTCTGCCAGTCTCTAGAGCGAGCAGAACCAACCCGGGTACTTTTGCACGCAACAGGGAGAAACGGAAGATTTTCTAGAGCCGGCTCCAGTCATCCGATGATCAATGGGATAGCAGGTAATGAAGGTGATGTTGAAAAACCAACAAGCAAATGTCAGAAACAATGTATCTGAATTGTTAAGAGTTTTTCCCATTAAACGTTAGAGATCAATATCTTCCAAAATGTACGGAAAAAACATGAAAGGCCACAGCGGGTGCGTGGAAAATAGAAAAACAGAAATGAAGAACAACAGATTCATGAATCGGGTTGGAGGGCGAAAACGAGCTTGATTTTGCGATTGTAGAACAATGAAATTAGTCTCTTGGAAGAGTCAGCAAAAACCGGTGGAAAACATGCTAGAAGCTTAGAACGATTAAATCAGGACCAACACCCAACAAATCTCTGAATATAGTTAAGAAAGATGGTTTGAATGCCATGAGAGAAAAAAATGCAAGCATAGATAATGTAAGAAATACCGCGTGGGAGATATAATTAGTACAGTAATAAAGAGCAAAGACATCATACTTAAAATATACCTTCGCTTGCCGTTCCCCCTCACTTTGTACATGCATCGGCTTGCTCTGTTGCAGTTTATGAAGTAGAGTTAGAAAGATAGACTCTACATGGTCTGCTTCAGAATCCGCCTTTGCTGATGTCTCGAAAAGTGCCATATTATTATGATCGGCGAAAATCTGAAATATGTTGCTAGACAAGCAATAACACTTATTTTATGGAAATTAAAAGACTGTGGGAAAAGACCCGTTAACGAGTGACCGCTAGTGGTATTAGTAGATAGAAAACCAGTTGAAAGACAGGCGAAACGAAGGACTCGCATGGCGTGGTGGTGAACGCGTTAGCCCCGAGAAAGGGTAATGGTGCGTTCGATGCTCACCGCATGCACCAGCAATCCGGAATTTTGCAAGTATCTCAGCATCATTATGGTTCTATGAAGAGAATATGAAGAAATATATTTTGTTCGCCTACTACTTCTCAACAACAGAACGGTTTTCCTCAAGTTTTCATTATTAAATGGAATAGTGAAGCTCTTTTCTTCTTCAAAAATACTTTGGAGGAGGATGAAACTGTCTTCACCTGTGCAGCATCCGTGTCAACACGCGCAGTGCTTGAAGATTTCAGATCGCATTTGTTTCCGATAAGAATTCGCGGCACATCCGAGTCTGAAGTCAATCCATTTTTCTCACATTCTGTAATCCAAGACCGAAGCGATGCGAATGACGATGGGCTGAATAGGCTGTATCTCTGTCGCAGATTACGTGGAGAATCTATCAATTATGTTATTCGTTACCAATATGGCAGCGCTGACCTCGTAAACTATGAAGACCATACAAATATTTCATATTTATGGTTCAATTCATCATTTTTTTTTTGAGGAAATAACACATAAATCGGTTATACAAACAAAATCAAACGTGACCCTGTGGCTTTGCTACGTTCACAATACCCAGTATCGCTAAATTATTGTCCTTTTGTGAAGAGTAGCTCTTACCATGTCACATCGTAAACGAACACTACTGCATTGACATTGCGGTAGTAATGAGCCACAATTGAGTGCCTATACCGCTCCTGACCGGCGGTATCCCATAGTTGCACCAAAAACATATCAGTTTTAGTTTCCAATAAATAAAATTGTACGTCTATATAGCAATAGTGCAAAACGCTTATGAAGATGAGGAGTTAAACGATGCTGAGATATTTGTAAAACTCCTGATCGCAGGTGTCTGCGATGGAGATCAAACACGCTATTACCGTTTCCAGGGAGCAACGCGTCCACCACCACACCATACGAGTCGTTCGTTTCGGTTTCGCCTATCTCTCAACTAGTTTTCTATCTACCAGTGCCAGTTTTCTACCTATCAATTAACTGGGCTCAACATCTATTTGAGCTTCCCAGATCAATCCCGTTGGCGAGTGATTGCTAAGGGCGCGTTAGCTACCGGAAAAATTAGTAGCGTGTTCGATCCTCGCCACAGACAGCCACAATCTGGAGTTTTGCAAATTTCTCAGCATCGTTATGGTTGTATTTTACATAGTACCCTGCCGTGAAAAATTGTAGTAGGCAGCAAATAAAAATTTAACGTGATGAGAACTCACTTTGAGTAATTCTCTCTCAATAACACAACTCCTTTCTCGGAAATCCACACCTATGGTAGCTTCGGTATTCTCAGGAAATCGACCACAACAAAACCGGAACGAAAGACAAGTCTTACCAACACCAGCATCACCAACGATGATTACCTAAAGATCCACCACAAAGGCTAGACAAAACTTCTAGTGATAGAAACGACGAAGACATTAACAAGGAACCTTGAAGGATCGTTTAAGGTTGTAACTCCTAGATGACGTTGAAGCCAGTGGAAATTTATGATGCTTTTCCGTTTTCGACTCCTCGTTTACACAATTCTGGGACACATAGCGATAAATGATTACACTCTAAATAACTACTGCAGAAAAAGAATAGCAAACCTTCACTGTTTCAGTAGTGCTCGAGAGAACTGCAAAAGTTCCTTGTTCAGAATTAGGTATAGAATTTGTATTCTCAAAGACAACAGGCAGACTTTGGACATTTACAGAAGGGTATGGAACCGCAACCTGAAATGAAGCACATCTCCATTCACGTGGAAAAATCGAAGCAAGGTTTGCAATCTTTAGAACAACCTGTAGAGTAGCGGGTGTTGTGGGATGCATCTTCAGATTGGATGCGAAGTCAGGTAAAGGTGCAGGAAGATCTACAACCGTTGTAAACGTACTAAACTGAGGTGTAGGAACGGTGGGTACACCATGAAACACCGTTCCGCTCATCTGAAATCAAAGCACAAAATATTGGACCGATTGCGCCAACTATGTTCTACATTTCATTTTCAAAAGCGCCTATTCTAAAAAAGAAAGAACCTGAATGTTATGAAAAGAATAGAGCTCTCGGCGTTTACCAATCCCTGAGGGATGCGCCATGCATTCGACTTCATTAAACATCTTTGGAGGTACTTGAATGCACATTAAGCCTTACACTGACTCGCGGTGGCCTACTGATGCATCGAGCCAGTGCTCCTATCTTTTTGGTGAGCCTCGAAGACGAGGGAGGAGGGGAACGACCCCATATGTATTGCAGGGCGCCTCCGACCACTGCGCCGCACGCGCCTCTCTGACTGTTATAAGCAGTTATATTGATAAGCCACTATTAGAACAGCTGGATGTTAAGAAGCCACTAATATCTTAACAATACGAACAGAACTGTCAAGAGAAGTAATCAACCGTGGTACTGACACCAAAAAAAAGGACACAATTAGAGCTAAATTTTTTATTCCAATCATTTCTGTACACCATAAAATCATCTACACAATAGCGTATAAACCAGTACAGTTACAATAAGAGGAAGTACAGAACAATCTTTAGTAATTTTCAAATTTAACAGCCCCTTAGTAGAAAGACATTACTATTGGTGTGGTAATCGTAAAAAACCTTACGCGAGAAACATGTTTTAAATTGTGAGACCAGAAAAGTGAGAATTACAGACGGAACAAAAAATGTAGGTTGGAATTTTATGAGGTGGCGCAGGATGGGATACAGGCACTCAAATAAAAGGATTCCGTCGCTGACTGTTTTGTGGAAAGATTTTTCCTTGCCGTTCAAGTGAGTAGTAAGCGAGACGGAGATGATGCGGCTTGAGAGGCTCTTCAGATGTAACCATTTTTGCCTGAATATCCAATGCCTCTTCCACCAGCTCGCAGGCAAATACCTTAAAAAGGACTTTTGGCCTAAATATGAAGCTGCGAGTACATAAATTGCAATTGAAAAAAACAACTGCTACAAAATCCATAAAACCCTCTCGACAAAGGCTTCCCCTATCGCAAGGCTGCACAACACACGCTCAAGTGGTGGAAAGGGTAGAATGGGCACCAAAAGCAACCTTGTATATGCCCTACGACACCGATGGTTTCAGATGAACTGCATCGAAGTTTCATCTTCACCAAATTACATAAACTTTCTTTACGCATGTAAAACAATGCACGCTCCTATACCCGCATGTGCATTCAAAGCTATGATTGGGTGCATGCGAGCTGCACGTAAATTCGGCGAAAGATCAAGTGACGTGAAAGTAGGTAGCAGGTGGTAAGAGGTCACTTCCAACAAATAATCTTCTCATCTAATCCAATCAACAGCTTCCTTTGGGAAAATGCCGCTATCAACAACACTGGTGAAGAATATGAACGATTCACCCAGCAACACCACAATAGGGCTACGACAAGAAAAAATCAAGCTGAAAAGCAAGCGGCTAACTAGACAAGCCGTAGGGAAATGATAACTTGTGTCTGATGATATAAAGAAATTGTGAAGAGCATCCGCAACCCCCGCCATGACTTGGTCAATTACGAAATCGAGATGGTCGACGTCTAACACAAAGACAGATCAGTGCGTTATTGTTCAGATATAACCAGGTATAGAATCGCTGGACAAGTTTCATAAGCACTATGACAACTTCACAGCCAGTATATCATAACTCTAAAATGAATCACTGATGTAGAGTGATTCGACGAACCGATACTATTTTCCCGAAATTATTTAAAAACACTCCAGAAAGCCATGCTACCTTCCAGCTGAGGATACCTTTACTACATCATTATTAAAAAAAACAAACAACCCAATCGGAACCAATGCTGTCTAGTTTCAATCATCTGATAAATCTATTGAAAATGACGTCCACGTAGAATGGATATGTTTTCCACGCCCGAAAAATCTTCGAATGTTTCAAATATGCACAAGTAGGCCAGGAAGTCGCGATCGTGAACGAAAACTCTAGACCTAGGCAGAAAGAAATAGCAGCCTACAAAAGCATCGATGTTGTAGTGAAGAGGACAATGAACAACGGAGTCCGTACTCAGGTGCTAGGTTTTGAAATTCTTTCTGTCTTCATGCTAATATCAGTAACTAGGACGCTAAATAAACAGAATGAAGCGCAACAAAGTGTTATTGGAAGAGCGGTCTAGGGTACGACGCTAGCGGTATCCTGTACCAGACAAGCGGGTGACATATGCAAGACAAGGAATCGAACGATAGAAGTGCTGATATTCGCACAATACGTTATTCTTAGTTATGTTAATAAATAAACAAAATCTGAAAAAGTTTCTGTACCTTAGCAAGTCCTGCAACTGCAATAACAACATTCTGGCCTGCATTGACACCAGTAAATTGGTGGATAAGACGCCGAATAATGGATTTTGGAAAGGACGATCTATAAAAGTTATATCGGTATTTAAACACATCTTCACAAATCGGCTCAAAGCACTAACTCTTCTATCCAACTAACTTTAACTCTTTTCGACCAGTGTTTTCCACCCACACCACTTTTTTCTTCAACTGACTCTCAAATAATCATTGCAACGCACTCAAGGATCTTCAGCTAATCACTGCCACCCCAAATGGTTGTAGCAAGATTTGCACTATTGTAATCAGGTCTCCTCTAGAAAAACAGCGAATTATAACACCGGTTTATTACAGTATGGATTTCTTGGTGAAATTACAAAGCTTCTATATTTTATAATTATTGTCTAGTCAACAGACGTCTGCCGACGTTGTTTGTGTAGAACGTTTTTGTGAGATCTAGTCGAAGACCAGTCCTCCTACCCCTATAAACAAGGTCGACTTGCATTTGTTCCATTTGATTAATGTTTCCTGTAATAAGAACGATGTTAAAGCGGAGGTGGCGTAATTGCCGGTGATCGATTTTAATTCCTGTTGTCCCATTCAAATGTTACCATGACGTTCTCGAGGGTGACGGTAAACAATTTAGGCGAAATCGCCTTGTGGAACCCCTTTTTTTACATAAATGTTAGTACAGTTCCAGACCCGGGAAATCCGAATAAGAGTTGTGTGGGATCGACTTGTTCCTTCCAGTCCACCAAAATAACCAGTGACTACATGTGATAAAGATTTGGGAACGCCCTAGCACTACCCAGGATTCCGATCAGGTGAATCGACTCGGCTAATATTCCACTTCGTTCATAAGGAACACCGAACATTAGAGCAACATCCGCATGGATGATGGATGGTGAAATGTACGGAATATACACCCAATATTGGCATGCCAGCAAACGCGGTGAAATATTTAGTTGACGCTATTCACTGGATATTGAACAAGGTAACACTCAGCAGGTACTGATGCTTGTTTCTTCCTTCAAGTAAACACTACCACCTTGACAAAAGGATGAGTGGCAAGCTAGAATGGACCACGTCAAAGAGGTGAGCCCAATCGTAAAGTCTCCCTTTGATTTTTCCTTTGACAATTTAATTATATCCTAACTTATTCCTTATTAACAAAATTTCTCGACTGGATGTGAATATTCTCCCATTGTGGAGCGAGTTATGATGACAAGAATAAATAAAAGCATTATATTCATTCCGGAACAAAATTAATTGTACAACAGTCCTTAAGTAGCTAGCCACACATGGCATCTCATATCTGTTTAAGCGAAGAATTCGGAACAAAGAAGTACGCTGTTTCTGCATTAAGGAGAACATGAAAAGCTGAACAAATTACTCAAACTGAACCTAGTTAAAGCTCTACAAAGCCACCACAAGGACAAGTATGCGATTCCTATGATTAGCTACTAACAGAAACTGCTGCCATCATCTCAGTGTAAACAAGCCCTGTACTCAATTATGTTATCGTAATGCAGCTCTATATTACGATACATTACAAACCAGGAAATAGTCAATTTTTGGCTTGTCCAGTTGATTTGCTATATCTAGACAATACTATTTCCTACCTTAAATCTTATGTTCTAGAATGGTCCCTTACGGCGGTAGAACTAACCAATTCGAAATTTTTAAAACGTACACACTTTACTTTAAATAGTACACACTTTACTTTAAATAGTAATAAAGAAAAGCAACTGTACTGACCTCCTATACATCTCGTACCTATTGAGTTGCTCTTGAGAAAAATTAGATATAAGGATCTGGAAACAAAAACAATCATCATGAAATTTTCTGACATCCAAGGAAAAGAACTGATATCTCAGCACTTTTATGAACAGCAACTGCATATAAGTAAAGGCATTGCTTAGAGTGGACGAAGTCAAAGAACCCACTTGCATCTTAAGTCGCAGTAACTCGTCCTCTTCATTCAGTGGCTTGATAGGAAGAGCATCATCCTGAAATCATTGAATAACAAATTTCCGCAGCTAGTTCAACCGCAACATCTAGATTGGAAAAAAACAACCTTGGGTTAGATCGAGAACCGTGCAATACGTTATGAATCCTCAAAATCCAAGAAAATGGTATAAATGAGGAAACTGTCAAATCTCATCATTACGTCTCACCTCTTCCTGTTCACCTTTAGAAGCAAGAGCAGGAACCTTTTCTGGAGCAGAAGACGACTTTTCAGGTGGTGACATATCACTGATAAGCCGCACGTCTTTTTCTTTCTGAAATAACATCAAAAGTCACCAACATGGGACTAAGCTCAATGTTTAGCAAATGGAACGAAGCCATCTTTGTTGTTCCCTACTACTAATCCATTCGCGTTCCAGTTTTAAACAAATATCTCGGGTCGCAGCAAATGTGTGACTTGAAAATAAGACCATTAGTACTTAAAGACCATTCTCAACAAAGAACGTTTGGCTATCTACCATACATAAACTGCTTTTTGAATCCCTGAGGAATAAGCCATGCATTCGATTTGTTTTTACAATGATCCGCGGAACCCTGCCGATATATCAAGCTAGTGCTGCTATCCACGCAGACAAGTTTGCTACCAATTCACAGACCCCGAAGGGATGCAGGGCTTGGTGGGCCACGGGCGTGGGGATCGATTCCACGCGTGTGTTGCAGGGCACTCCGACCACTGCGCTACTAATCCATTATCCCAAAGGGAAGTAAACCAATGTTCGCAGTTAAATTCATTCTTTTCAACAATACATGTATTAGTGAAACAGAGTAACCTCGACCAACTAGTCATGGATTCGGAAACAATACTTAAACGAAAGGCACGCGGTACAACAAAGAAAGAGAAACTACCTTGAATTGGACAGTCTTGGATTTGTCTTTTAATATCTTCTTTGCAGCAGATGTAGAAGGGGTAGCAAAGAAATCTTTAAAAAAAAAACTACCCAGAAAAGTGTTAAGTAAACAAACTACCTACTAAAAAAACTAACCGAGAACTAGGTACGACTCTTAAACATCCAAATAAAGCTTTCAGAAAGCAAACTACTTACACTACTGATCCATTTACCTGACGTGGGATCATTAAGAAGACTTAGGGCTTCTTGAAAATCAGCTGTGGAAGTCGAATCACCAAGATGGTTATCTGGTTTCACTCGTTTCATATCTCCACCCCCACAATCTGGTGGAGAGGTGGCCTGAGAAAAATTGTAGAGAGGAACTCTAAGGAGGAAAAAATGCGACGGAATCAAGGCGCAAACCTTTCTTTTATTAGCTCCGACCGCACTTGGAGCTTGAGAGTCATCCAGACCATGTAAGATTGATGTACCGCCGTTTGAGGACTCCTCATCATACAAAGCATGAGACACCTTGGACTGCGAGATGTCGGGTCTATAAACTCGTAATTTAATAAAGTAAAAGTCGCTACCTTAAAATAAAACAACATACTTCTCATCTTTGACCACTGGATGTTGTGCGATTTCATTTGTACGCTCGAATTCCTCTTCTTCATCACAACTGCTGTCACTCAGATCTCCACCAAATAGATTGTCGCTGTCCATATCTTCAAGACTGGAAGTAATGTCTCATCAGTAATAAAAAAGGAGATTTTGAAGAAGGAAAAAAGAGAAGGGAGAAGAAGAGGAAGAGAGGAAGAGAAGAGGACTCATATTCTCCAAATCGAAGAACCCGTAGCTAATTAATAAAGAGCAAAGGACAATCAAACAAAAAATTAGCCTAACATATTCCTAGCCAAAATATGATAACAATTACTAAATGAGGACGGAAAAGCGTGGAAACATAGCGAAGACCACCGAATGATGCGGTGCGAAAAATGATACGGAAACTGCATTTAAGGGTTACGGTATTCTCGATATTGGGTAAAATCCTCTGTCCGTAAACAAGTTGTGTTTCCTCATCCCTCGTGATTTCCATGGAAGTAAAACCGTTGGAGGCTACCTTTACCGAGTTTTCTCCGTTCATTTACGATTTCATACTTCATTGATAACTTTACTTCTAGGCTGGTGCATAATCAATATCCAAAATTTGCATTGTATTAGGTAACATTCGAAACAATCCGGGATATCTTTGGAAAACCTCCTTATTACCACAAGATTGCTGAGATATTTGCAAAACTCTGGACCGCAGGTGTCTGCGGTGGCAAACGAACGTGCTACTGTCCTTTCCGGGGAGTAACACGTTCACCACCACACCATGCGAGTCCTTCGTTTCGCCTGCTATAAAAATAATAGAAGGCAGGAAATAAAAAGCAAACATGAATTCGTCCTTCTTACTGTTTCTATAGTTCAAATTTGGATACTGTTTGTCCATATGTACACATTACTAGTACTCTAGAACCTTAATGTATACAGTGTATACAATGAATACAATGTATACATATATATATCATATAATGTAATAATGTAATGTATACATATATATCATATATGCTTGTTATTTATAAGTTACCTCTTCGGAACTTCCCGTAATGTCGTGTGGACCTCTCAAGGTTTAAGGTCATGAATGATTCCGTTTTCATATTCTTTTTACCTGAACATAAGGTAAGTTTGAAGTTTAATTGAAATTTAGACGTATTCCTTATCGTACTGAAGTGGTATAAGCTGTTATACCAACGTGTAGGATTCTTTATGTCTGAAGAGTTGTCGAGTCTAATGATTGTCGATGAGGATGACTTTGTGAAGGAGGTGGCGCTTCTTTCGGACCCTGTAAGCCAGTTATGAGTTTCGTTTTTAAGTGATCTATTTTTCAGATCGCTGAATCTGTGTCCATCATTCGGGATGCAGGAAAAATATTTGAACGGAGAAATGACGTCTTTACGGAAGTCATGGGCAAACGTCCTATAGAAAATGGCGAATCGTCTGCTCTGAAGGCTACTGAGGACGCGGTGCATGAAGAGAAGCCTAATAGAGTGTATGTCATTAAGATAGTCGTGTCCTTCCACTAAGTTCTCGTTCTGGTCATCTTTTCAGAAAGGAAACAACAATAAACTTTGTACAAGTTTCGGCCAACTATGACGGAACAGAGCAGCTTCTAGCTCATGTGGGTGTATTCAACATTTTTATTACCTTAATACAAATATTCTTTAAAGAACGTGTTGGGTAGTGTTCGGAAGCCCCTGTAATACACATGGGATTGATCCGGGCGGCCCAGGCCCACCAAGCTCTCCATCCCTTCGCGGTCTGCGGACTGTTATCAGCCTTGTCTGGGAGAATAGCAGCACTGGCTCAATACATCGGTAGGCCACCGCGAGTCATTGTAAAGGCCAGATATGCATTCACTCACCTCCAGCGATACTTGATGAAGTCGAATGCACGACACATCCCTCTGGGATTGGTCAACGCCGAGAGCTTTATCGTTTATCCTTTATAATATAAACATTCTTGATCAACGATTGTGAGTTCGGTTTCCCAAAACGAAGCAGATGAGCACGGCACACAATCCTGCTCGTTTTTAAACATTGAAGTAGAGTTGTGAAATTTGACTTTTCTTTTGGAAGTTCCGTCTGAGGCCGGCTTCAATTTTTCTTTTTCTCCAGGAGCACTCTGATTTCGTGAAGTTGGCGCTAGAAGATGAAATCAATGATGACATCGTCGTAGTTGATGAATGTGGTGATGGTGATGAGTTGGACACACCTACTTCCGAAGAGCGCGAACTATCCAAGAAGCCGAGAAACTATAAGGTACGTGTAAGGCCTTAATAATATATGTACCCTCTCTTACGGTATATTTTAGCGAAAAATTGTTCGCATACCGAAAGAAGTGTTCGATTACATGGCAAGAATAGAAGACGATGGTGTTGTGAGATTAAATATTACGCAGCTGTTTGTATTTCTTACAAACGAGTTAGCACGGAAATCCATCCATGTTAGTTGATTTCTAGTGTTGACACTGTTACTCTCTGTTTCATTGAAACATTGCTTTATAGTCGTTTTTATGCTTTTATTTTCATAGTGTATTCCAAACTACCACGGACATCCCTCATATGAGGTATCTCGAGCCGATTGGTCACAAGGCTACGTGGCGCGTCCTCAGGTGGTGGATAGGGGTTTAATTGCTGACCAAAAGCGAACTTTGCTTCCCTGAGACGCAGGTGGATCCAGGATATGGACTCCCTGTTTCTGCTACGCTGATTTGGCACATATTTTCTGTATTCGTTAGGCGTATTCATGCATGCGTGTCTGGGTGCGTTCTTGCTTATGTGGATTGTATTCTACGGGTCAATTCTGCCAAAAGCCTGCAATCAAGTGGTAGGGAAGTATATTGGAAGCGGTTAGGAGTCGCCTCCAACAGATAAGATCCATGTCCACTCTGGGAGAGCTTCGCAAGCTACCCGTTAGTACACCCAGCCCCCACGTTAAGAGCCCAGCAAGCTATACGCGGGTATCAAAAATGCTAAACACAGTAAAAAAAAAACGGGCCTTATTCCCCTGACCCCAAAAGAGCCCCCAATTTCGCAGCGGTGGGTAGGACGAGTACGGAGAGGCTGCTAAAATCGCAGGGATAATGGAAGCTGCCTGGATCACAAAGAACTAAGGTGACGATGTGCACTTACAATGCACGTACACTTGCATCCGTGACTGCGATGGAAGACGTGCTCATGCAAGCAAAAAGGATAAACTACGACATCATCGGCCTGGCCGAGACGAGAAGATGCCAGCATTTCAGCGCCGCTTATGACACCGGAGAAGAACTGTTCCTCGGAACATGCGACAGCAAAGTCAGAGGCGTGGGTGTTCTCGTCAACACGAGTTTGTCCATGAACATCGATTCATTCGAACAGCTTACAACCCGAATCGGGCGTTTACGATCAAAAAGAAGTGAATCAATTCCGCCTTTGACAATCTTCGTCGTTTACGCGCCGACATAAAACTATGACGAAGAAGCCGAAGCGTTCGATATGGACTTGGAGAAGTTCTTCAGAGAAGACCACACAGCCTTCAAAGTCATTATTATTGATCTCAACGCCAAGATTGGACCAAGAAGAACGTCTGAAGAACGTCACATTGAGACCCACAGATTAGAATGGAACGAACAGGGTGAGCAGTTATCTGAATTTGTCGTGACGACCAGGAGCATTCATAGTAACTCCCGATTCCCAGACTCAACGTTGGACGTAGGTGTCTTCCAGTGGAGAGTGCCATAACGAAATAGACCACATCATAGTAAACGGAAGATTCTGCCTAACCGATGTCGGGTTTCGCATGCCCCATTTACGCTCAACGGAACGGATGTCTCCGAATACTCCAGTTATGTCTGTCTAGGTCGTGAAATCAATGTGATGAACGACTTAGCTCCAGAACTGAGCAGAAGGAAACGAACGGCTTGGGGAGATTTCAAAAGCATCGAGGATGTAGTAAAGAGGATACAGAACACTCGACTTCGTGCCCACCTTTTCGACTCAACGGTACTTCTTACCCTAACGTATGCGTCAGAAACCTGGTCGATGCGTAAGCAGGATTGTAGGTCACTCAGCGTTATCGAACAAGCAGTCGAAAGGACGATGCTAGGAGTAACGCGTGTCACGCAACAAAGGGATGGGATTCGAAGCTTCGATCTGCATGTATTCTTTCTTTGATGAGCTTACACGAGGTTGATAGTGATATTTATTTATTTTCGGCAAGCCGAAAATAAATAAATATCACTATCAACCTCGTGTAAGCTCATCAAAGAAAGAATACATATTGATTAGTGATACCGAGGTTCAAGGAAAGTCGGTTTCGAAATATTGCTTCGATCTGCTTCAACGATCAAAAATCAAAGATGCCGTTCTATACGCCATACAGTCGAAGATAAGGTGGGCCGGTCACGTAATGCGTATGAATGACAACCGATGAGCAAGAGCCGTTAGTGACTGGATTCCTCAGGATGTCAAACATAATGCAGGAAGACCACCGACCCGATGGTCAGAGTTCTTCACGAAGAGCCTAGAAGAAAGATATGGTGGTCGACGGGACTCTAGAGCGAGCAGAACCCACTGGGCTACTCTTACACGCGACAGGGAAAAATGGACGATTTACTGGCGCTCGTTCGAGTCACCTAACGATGAACGGAACTGCAGGTGACTCTAAACTAATGCGGTGCGAGTGGAGCACTGTTCGTAGGCGCCCTGTAATATATACACGTGATAGATATCCATGTCCCTAGCTCGTCATGCCTTCCACGTTAAATTGCTACCAGACTTCTCTGGGAGGATAGCAGCACCGGATAAATACATCAGTGGACAACCACGAGTCATTGTAAAGCGCAAATGTGCACTCAGTCACTTCCAACAATGTTTGGAGTTGAATACATTTTGAATATTTCAGGGGTTGATCAACGCTGAGAGCTTTTTTAGCTTTTATTCCAAACCAATTAGGAAAACGTTGAACACTTTTAGTTGAGGCTCCCAAAGGTTGAATATTGTCGAAATATTTTGATAACTGTGCATTTTTTGTGTCTTTAAATAATTACTAATGTTTAGGTTGATGCAAATACTTGGGACTCTACAGATAAGGTTCCAATTCTGGATGTTAGTGTTCCACCGACGGCTAAACTCAATCCAACTTTGATTGTTGAGTATGTATTCAGTGGTATATTTGTGTGGCTATTATTTACCGCCTTTCTAAGTTTAAGATGCATGAATGTTGTGCACGTGAAAAGGTTCTAGATAGTTTTTAAGCAATTTCGATAATGATCCAGTTCATCGCGAAGCACAGGAAACAAGGCTCAAATCTATTCTTGAGGTAGTTAATCTCTCGGAAAGTTTTTCATAAATTTTTCCTTATTTTGTGAACATTTGTTTTTTCAAGCATAGGCAGTCGCACATCCACACTATTTTGAGGAAACCGAGGCTGCATGCTAATGAAACTGCTGTCTCAAAAGTAAGTCGGAGACTACGTTCAAGATATGGTATTCCATTGGTGATGAGGTGTACTTCTTCTATTCAGATTTTAAGTGTTAACGTGCAGATGGATAAAAGTCTTGCTAAGAGACAGCTCTGGAGAGAGAAAAAAGGAGAAGAACGGAAGGAAAGAAATGAAGAAAAGAGTGTTAATCTCGTCCATGAGAAAACGGAGAAAGGCAACAAAGAAAAATCGTTGAGCATTTTGGAGTTGCGACAGTAAGTTTACCACTCTTTATTCTGTTTTAAAGCGTACATGATATATTTATGAAAAATTGCTAATATTGAATGCTGCTTGATGTAAGAGGCAGTTTTGGTACATTGTTCTCGCTATCTTCATTCTTTAATGAAACTTTTGTCAAATATAGCGCATTTGAAAGACGTTTGGTAAAGTATTGAAGGTTTAATAATTTGCTACTCAAAATTCTATTGCATCATTACTAAAACTGCTGGAACCTTCATTAGCTTTCTTGAATACTTGTATTGGCCATCTTCACTGGTTGTGCGGGCCCCAGCATAATTTCTATTTTCTCAGTTTTGATGGTTTAGCTATTGTGATTCCCTGGTGTTGCTAGGTCAGCTTAGGCGAAGTCTGTCCCAGATCGTCACTACCACAAGCAGTCACCGCTCTTGTGGATCAGAGGGAGATTTGCTACTACGCGACTAGTTCGATACCTGAACGGTGGTGGATCCTGATATTGGTTTACTCCTAGCTGAATTTCCTAATGGAAATGCCGGACTCAACTTGGGAGATCCTGCTGAGGTGATGAATCACCCGAAGTACATCGCAGCCAAACACCCAGGAACACCTCCCAGCCGCGACAATGCACAAAACCATTGGAAAGGAACCCTTATTTACTATGTTGGAAGTGGAAAGTGGTCCTGCATGATTAGTGTGACCAATGAATTTTAGACGTTCTTGATTTTAATGTAATTCTTCTTACGATTTCGGGCTATACAATTTATGCATTGAACCATACGAATATCCTTTCACTACGGATTACAACCCGAACGGTTGTAGCTCCACGGATCTGTCGGTTTAGTTCTATCTAATGTCTTCTATGAGGACTGAAATCTGATACAAAATCACACAAACGTGTAACGTTATCTTTCACCAATTTTTAGGAATTAAAAAAATCTTGTCTACTAAAATAGCGTCTTTTAATGTGAGAGACGTGTTAAATTTTTTTTTTTGGTGACTTTATTCCTCCATTTCTTATTGGAAAAGCCATTGTCGGAAAAAAATGATAGTGGTTATTATGCTGTTTGAGAGGTGATCAAAACGTGTGTCGGTAATCATTCTGCAAATGCTGACAAGGTGTGTCATTGTACTCCATATATAAGGAGGCAAGTAGGATATAGATTTGAATATACGATGGGTTTCTATCTGCAATTATAGGTGGCTTCTTTGTGATCAAGTTAGATTTCCATGTATTGGAAACCATGGGAAGTGGATTTCACTGGCGACTTTATTTGTCTCATTTACATGTCGGGAGCAAGGATCACTCATTGGCTGAAAAACGAAAGTTGTCATAGCTGGGCGATTTCTCTCGAATCCGAATATTTTTGAATTCCTGTTCTGTCGCAGTACTCGAAGCATGCAGCTTTCTTGAAGTGTTGTAAGAGTCGATGCAGTTGTAATTTCAGAAAACGTTTGGCGGTACACGATGCTTTATCAACGGCTGAGGAAAGTAATGCTGTTGGAAAACAATCGGGGTTGTATAGTAGTAATTCCACTTATCGAAAACCTAATACAAGAAGTAAGTTGGGTGTGTGTTTTTATGCTGAAGTGAAAATATCGAGTTCGGATTGCAACTGTTGTACTAACACAATTGAAATCAGTTGTTTTTTATCCAATGTTAACGTTGCTTATTTCCAATGCTAGGAAGGATTTCTGTTTTGGTTTCTTGCCGTAAGATTTCAGTAAATCATTTAAGTGGGATCTTCCCATTGCTTTTATTAAAAGGCGGAATAACAGTGAAGTTGTGGTTCACTAGACCAAATTGCTTGAGCGTTTGTGGTAGCATATATCAATTTTTTGACTATATCTTTCTCCAATGTTAACAAACTTTGGGGATAGACCTGATTTAGAAGTGTAGATATGGTTGATTTCTCTTTTAATATGGGTTTGCTTCTTAACGTAACTCGAAGCAGCGTTATTGTCTCTTATGCGAGTTGAAAGTTAAGTAGTTTTGTGTTTATTTTTTCCAAAAAAATATATTTCAGTTTTTCCGAATAGGCGTGACGAGTTAACACCTCACTCTAGAGCAGGAGGTATACAAGATAGACGTTCCCGCGACAAAACGTCTATGTTGTCTTCTTACACTACACGTTCCGGTTTTGTGCTAAGGGGAAACAAGGATAGGAAACAAACATTTTATCGGCCATATTCTTCATCACTGGCAGCTTCGAATGCAAGTCGAAATGCTACAGAAAGGCAGTTTGCTTCAGTTTATTACCAGCATGACGGACGAAATAAACAGCAAAGATATAGTTCGGTAAGTAGCACGCAAAAACAGGTAGAAGGAAATATATTTACCACATTACTTGAAGGTTACGGAAAAAAAAAACTTTTTTGAGATCTCTTGATGTGAGTGTGTGTTCATCCTAATAAATTGGATGCACTTAATTTGGTCTACGATTACTAGATGTTGCAAAAATCAAAGAAGGCAGAACACGTCCTTGAATTAATTCAAGCAACCACAGCTATGCTTCTTACATCTACATTTTTAGATGCGTTGTGGAGAAATCCATCACTTCAGTAATCGAGAAGGATCAGTTGAGGTGTCGCCGTGGTCTAGACAGCCGCTCATCTCACGGTACGTTATTTACCCTTTTGAAGGCCTTACAAGTGATATTTACCAGTTTGTAATCACATCTTTATGTTGTAATTCGTTAAATTCAGAGAATTACATAAGTTAGAGGAAGTGATGCGCAGAGCTGCGCAAAATAATGCGTCTTCAATCGATGCAGCGAGACAGGTGGAAGAACTTGGGCTGAGTTCGGTAATGGGTACCATGCTAAATGCAACAAATCATGTGGTAATTGGTTTTTTTTTAACTTTCAGCTAGATGTTTGAACATGTATGCTTAATTATAAGGAGGCCTAATAATAATATAGCGGTATTTTGGAAGTAGTGATTGCTAGAAACGTTTCACATTATGGACTCTGGAAGGGCGCATGTAGCGCAGTGGTCGGAGGCGCCCTGCAATACACATGGGATCGATCCTTGCCCCTAGGCTCACCAAGCCTTCCATCCCTCCGGAGTCGGCAAATTGAAACCATACTTGTTTGGGAGGACAACAGTACTAATCCGATACATCGCTATGCCACCACGAGTTATTGTATAGGCAAGCTGTGCATTCAGTCAGTTCTGATGCCTAATGAAGTCGAATGCACAGCAGATTCCTCAGGGATTGACCAACGCTGAGAGCTTCAGAGCTTTTATGGACCCTAGAAACATTAAATTTGAGCCGATTGTAGTTTGAGTGGATACGAGCTGTCACAGTTTGGATGGATTAGAGGCTTGTAATAGTTTAGTAATCTAAAGAAAGAATAGCAAGGACCAGTCACTCTTTATGTTAAGTGGAAATGCATTATTCTTTTGAAATGTTCAGAAAAAAGCGGCTTCTCGACAATTGATGATTTCTTTTTGTTAACTGGTGTACTTTCTGAAAAGGTACCCTAAGTACTGCTGATTCACAAATGGATGAGAACGGAATTTGTGCTTTTGAAATTTTACGATGCGGCAGGGGACACTATTGTGTTATGTTCTACGAACGACTGTTCCATCGACTTGGTATTCGAAAAATGGACCTCGACAGAAAAGAACTGCGATTTGTGTAATTCAAAAAAGTCAGAATTTTGTCGCTAGTTGTCAAAAAATTTTGCTTGTTGGTAAAGATCTGTAGAGTACAATGACTTATATTTCAAATGAATTGAGTTCATTTTGATCTGAGATGCGATTTCCAAAATTTGAGAAGGGAAACGTATTTCGTAACAGGCGAGCGTTGGAGTCAGTGCATGTCGTCGCTAGTGTAATAATTGTACACGTTTGTGTACAAACTTTTCATTAAACAATTTGTTATAGAGCTCATGAAGACTTCGCAGAGCTGGTGTCACTTCCTCAGACGTGGTTTGATTACCCAAGTTTGAGGAAGCAGGACCAAGTCTGTGAAATGTGTACAAAGTATCTTGGAGTATAAATTTCAGGACCTACATGTTCCTTCTAGAGGTCATTCGTTTAGCTACTCATCATCTTTACCAGTCCGACCGATTGCATCTATGACTAATAATTCGTTGTACCGGTAAGTCCTGCTGAAAACGATATACAGACCAGTTTATTCATCGAACGTTGAATGATAGAAGATGAGCATGAGAGGAAATTTTCCTAGTTCATGTAGCGAAGCGCTATTCTTTATGTGGTGGGAGAACCTTATCGGGTTCGTCCGATTGTGGGAGGCCGCTTGACATATGTAGCTCGAGATGCAGTGATTTCGATGCATGTGTAGGCAGGTTGGATGAAGTGCTTTGGTCCCGGTGCACTTACTTTTTGGCACTTCTTTACCAGGAATAGCTTTTTAACAATATTCAGCAGTATTTCCTTTTGTATTCAACCGATAATTTATCCAACACAGGTACCGTACCAGGTTTTTGTTTTACATCACTCCGCTTGTTCTTGGATGGTCCAACACGGCTTGTTTTTTGGAACAGTTTCCAAATGTTATTACCACAACTTTTCGCCGACATTTTAAAACTTGTTAAAAACATTTTAACATAAAGCTTACGGCACTGGTCGATAGAAAGCTAGATGAGAGACAGGCGAAACGAAGGACCCGCATGACGTGGTAGTGAACGCGTTAGTCCCATAAAAGGTAAGCGCGTTCGTTGCTCACCGCAAACACCTGCGGTCTCGAGTTTCGCAAATATCTCAGGATCATTGTGGTTGTATTCCGCTTAATACTTTGCCTTAAAAAATTATTGTAGGCTGCAGATAAAAGTTAATATTGTGATTTCAACTACATCCTCAGCTTAACTGGGTTCAATGCCGATGTGGGCTACTCAGATCAATTCCGTTGATGAGTGATTGCTGATGGTACTGATGGATACCTCAGCTTCGTTGTGGTTGTGTTTCACATAATACTCTGCCATGAAAAATTGTAGAAAGCAGTAAATAAAAGCTAACATAGAGCGATTTTCTTCGTATTTTTGTTGAGCAAACGCGAGGTGTTATTATTCTTTGTTCACGATTAAGCTGACGTTTCGGCGGATTTCGCCTTCCTCAGAGCCTGGAAAGGTCAAGTTGGTAGCAATCTACTCGGCCAGATGCCTCCATAACCAAACAAAGAAACCCCAAACCAAGATTTCAATCATTTTGAACACAGCTTTGCACACTCACCGCTTCCTATGAGGTTTCCACTAAGTATGTCACGTAGAGACCAACCGCACAGAAATCACGTGGAAGTATAATGTGCCCCTCACATCAGAAAAGCAGTTTTATATACTGCCCTATATCACGCGTGATAATGAGGCATTCTTCCCTGCGGTTCATTTACGGATTTCTGGAATTAATCCAGAGTGCCTCGAGAGTTTTTCGCGCCTGTGCTCTTGATTCGCGTGCGAGGATCGTGACACATACTTCGAAGTCGTCCCCGTTATGTCTCAGGGTCCTTTGCGTGCCTAGTGGGGTATTTGGTCTATTTTTGCGGCTAGGTNTTTGAACACAGCTTTGCACACTCACCGCTTCCTATGAGGTTTCCACTAAGTATGTCACGTAGAGACCAACCGCACAGAAATCACGTGGAAGTATAATGTGCCCCTCACATCAGAAAAGCAGTTTTATATACTGCCCTATATCACGCGTGATAATGAGGCATTCTTCCCTGCGGTTCATTTACGGATTTCTGGAATTAATCCAGAGTGCCTCGAGAGTTTTTCGCGCCTGTGCTCTTGATTCGCGTGCGAGGATCGTGACACATACTTCGAAGTCGTCCCCGTTATGTCTCAGGGTCCTTTGCGTGCCTAGTGGGGTATTTGGTCTATTTTTGCGGCTAGGTGTTCTTTCATGCGGACACAGAGGGGTCTACCCGTTTCGCCAATGTATTCGTCACCACACGTCTTAGAGGAGATCAGATAAACTATACCCGAGCTCATGCAATCACCGTCTCTACCACTGGGGCAAATTATGCAATTTTGAGTTGCACATAGACGGTCATATAGGCGGTTACGAACTAGCTGGCGCTTAAGATTACTCGGTGGTATTTCAACTACGCTCACCGAATTCTCTAAGCCTGCCCTTCTTAAGCAGCGTTTTATAGCTGTACTTATATCATTTGAGGTGAAGGGTAGGGTGAACGGGACCCTTCTATCGCTATAGTTGTCGTTTGGAGGCCTACGATTTCCTCTACACCTATCCTGAGCTACAGTTTCGTAGCCATTAGAAACGGCTATTTGCCGTGCCAAGTTCCGGGACTCCTCTCTCTGCTCCCTTCCCGTGCACACGTTGGTTGCTGTTCGAAACATGTTTCTTATAAGCGCCCTTTTCGTGTGAGAGGGGTGAGAGGAGAGGTAATGAACCAAGATGTTTTTACTACTTGGCTTTCGGTACCATTTTGTAATGTAGCCATTTTCTGATAGGTGAATTTGTACGTTCAAAAATGGAAGCCATTTTTCTTTCGGCTTTTCTCGGGTGAACTTGATATACTCTGACTCTGCGTTTAACAGTTTGAAGCATTTGTCCAATTCCTCTTGTGTTGAGCAAAGGACAAAACAGTCGTCTACATACCTACAGTAGAGTAGCGGCCCGAGATCAGTCACCGGTGCTTCGACATAAATGCAATGGCAAGGCTTGGAGCTAGTCGTTGCCCCATTGCCCCATTGCCCCATTGCCAACCCTCTTATCTGAGCGTAGTACTATCCAGACCAACTGAAGATTGAGCAGCCCAAGCATTCTTTTAAGAGTGCCATGAGGTGCTCTATCCTGAAGCCGTACATGTTTATTTCTCCTTCGTGTTGTGTAAGGAGTTCGAATATGGCTTGCATTGCGGAGTCATTCGACACGTTTGTATAAAGGGCGGTAACAACGTCGAAGGACTCCATCACGCACGCGCTGTTGGGCTGCGCAGTACGTAGACGATCCAGAAACATCTGGGTATTCTTGATTTCGTGTAACCACGTGATTTCTGTGCGGTTGGTCTCTACGTAACATACATAGTGGAAACCTCATAGGAAGCGGTGAGTGTGCAAAGCTGTGTTCAAAGTGATTGAAATCTTGGTTTGGGGTTTCTTTGTTTGGTTATGGAGGCGTCTGGCCGAGTAGGTTGCTATCAACTTGACCTTTCCAGGCTCTGAGGAAGGCGAAATCCGCCGAAACGTCAGCTTAATCGTGAACAAAGAATAATAACACCTCGCGTTTGCTCAACAAAAATACGAAGAAAATCACTTGATCAATGCCGAGGTTAATAGAAAGTCGGTCGTGGCAGTTCCTAACATAGAGCCCCCGTCTTCTTGAGTGGAGGAATCATGTTGTGAGGTGTGAACATGGTAATCGTTTTCAATCTATCTTTGCATTCGAAGACCACTGTGCCGCCACCGTTCTTGCCTACTGTCCATGGTTTTGTTTCAGTTTCACCATGGATGGCGTGTTTGTGAACTATATTTCCGTTCTTACAGCTGTTAATAAGATAATCCTTCCTTACGCTATGTTCTCGACCAAGCAGTGGCTTTGAGACTAATTATTGATATGTAGGTTCCTTCTTGCACCTAGCAAATCCTACACAGACGTCACCATTGGGATTGAACATGACATCAAACTATACGGGATTGTTATCAATCCACGAAAAAAATTTTTATAAGTGTAGTAATTCCTACTACAGAACTGAAATAACTTTAGCTTTGTGCATCTTATATGGGATATGTTGGCGAGAAGCTCCTCTAAGTCAAAATGGCGCGTAGAACCCATCAATGGCCAAGTATTTAGATTTGCTACAGTGTCTACTGATAAGTTCAATCAGTGATTTAATAATATTAATTAATATTGTACATCATTGGTCATGTCGGTCATCCAGAGTGTTGAGAAAATGGAGATATGTCGACAAGCCTTTAAATCCATCACTTATCAAAAAACGGGATGCAATAAATTGACATACAGTGACACGATTTGAACCCTAGTCATCTCCTATCTGTGGTATTTACATCATCAAACGGAGTACAGTGAATCCTTCCATCTTGTCAACATTTTCCGATTTCCACAATTTATCCTTCTGTAGTCCGTTTTTGGCTCTAATTCGCAACTAGATGTCGGACACTAATAGTTCATAAAAATTTATCCGTTCTATTAGTCGAAGCAGCAATTGTCTACTCACGTTGTACCGATTTTCAAATAGTTACGAGGTCTACATTGCTGGGCCTATGACATTGGTCTTCATCACGATGAGCTGTTATAATTTACTGCTCTCCGCTAACTATAAGTTCTATTGTTCCGCCAACGTAAAATCACAATTGTTGAGGATTTGGAATTCAGTTGGGCTTAAAAGAGAGAGAGAGAGAGACAAAAAACAAGGTAGAGATAGGGGCAAGGAGTCGTTGTGGATTTATAGAAATGAACAAACACCTATCATTGAATGTTTTTGCAAATCGTAATGGGTGAAAAATAGCTTTTGGATAATGTCGGGTACATCCGTTTTAGACAAGTTACCGTTTTAGTGTGGAAGGTACCCCAGAATTATAGATCTCCAAAATGAACCTATTAACTACAACCAATGCAATATGTAGTAAAGTGTACAGGCATATGTGAAGAAAACCGTGGGACAGAAAAAGCAGTTTATCGCACCTTGACACTGCACTGACTTTTAGCACGTTCAAGTCATAGTTTGCTTACCCTTTATTGAATGTCACACTTTTTAGCAATCACAACGATCCATTTGGCACACCGCAGCCGGATAGAGGCGATTTTAATTCTCGCGTTATAAATGACATGGAGGGTAGTGCATCACGAACTCCTCGAAACATAACTACCTTTGTTGAGCCTCATGGCAATGTTAATGAGAGGTGCGAATTTTTATATTCGTTATTCTCGTCAGTATGACCGCCGTATATTTCTGGTATTAGTGAGAACTCCTGATGGAGGTCAGTTTAATTATGATGCGATGAAAATACATCTTATGTTCAGTGGCTCTAATTTCTCTCATGGTGGCTGCATTTCTTATCCTTTGATGACTTCCGCTGCTGAGACTCGGGGAAACCCTAATATACCAACGGTTTGTTGTTCTCATTCACGTTTTTTTGAGTAGAGGAAAAATGCTAATCTTCACTAATCTTGAATTTTAGTACCACTTTTAGTTTTCAAAAAAAAACGTGTTTAGTTTGGACAGTCGTATTCTGCATTTGGAAATCGAACTTATGGACAGAGGACCCAGTTTGGAAGAAATCGTGCGAGCTCTCCAAGGCAAGTAGTAGTGGACATGTCACGTCTATTTCAATATATCTTCAAGTTTAGAATTTATACGAACATATTTTTTTCTTTTTACTATACCCTTTATCCTTTACTTACTCTTCCCTTCTTGACACGTTGTGCTGTTCTCAGCATCTCTTTCAATCGATTGATCCCTTTGTACATGTTGTACACGGAGTTGGACTTCCATGACGGATGTCACGCGACCGTCCTTATTTCGTGGGTGGGAGTTAAGGAGAGGAAGAGCTTGATTGATTGGCTATTTACAAAGTCGAACCAGCGACTAGGTGCATAGTGTGGCATCGCTAACCACCGCAATAAATGCACCCCTTAAAGCTTTATGATTGTGGTTAAAGGGTCAGCTATATTAATAATAAATTTATGTTTCTGCGAGTTTCATCCTGAGATTTTTTTCTTTGTAAAAGGCATACAATTATAGGCATCGTAGTCTCTACAGTGGCAGAAGATACTGATAGTCTTGGTGTTATTCTTGTTTCTTTGCTTATTACCTTGTAATAGCTTAACCCTTGTTGTTACTCACTGCACTGTCTTAGAAGTACATTTATGTTATTCTCTGCAATTCACCAGTAGAAGCTTTCTTTTTTCTCATCATCATTTTATTCTAAATAGCATTAATATGTAAGTTGTAATTCCTCTCTTACTTTCTTTCCCTGTAATATGCACAATAAACATGAAAATAAATATGTAAACATGGAAACAAAAAGAAGAGAAAACACTATACGTCACTATTAATCACAGATGAACACGAAATCGTTTACGTACAAGTAGAACAAATTGAACAATCCTTAGGAAATTGAAATGCAATAAACAATAACCCATACTTCATCCATCAATAAAGTGATATAACTAACATCCTTTCCAGATAAAGGAATCCGATCTATTTTCGCTTATATTTTTGAAACTGTGAAGAAAGCTGCCGAGTATTTGGATTCGTTCAGAATGGACGATGTAGATGAAGAAGTTAGAAGGACCAATAAAAGTAGCGGTCCTTTTTTTTCTGGCCATATACTTAATTAGGTTTCATACTTACTGCAACCTTTAATTACGAGAGGGTTGTCATGTCAATGCATTAGTTTCGAAAATAGAGTGGATGTGACATGGTTGTCTTTAGAACAACTCATCTCATTTGCTGGAAATTACGACGCAACAAAGTGAGGAAGGAAGTTGTAGGGAGACATTTCACGCTATTGTGGCTATTTTTAGAAAGAATTATTCGAGCTTATAGACGAAAAGGGAACTTTTAGGGTCAGAATGGTCCCACTATTTAAAATGAGTCGCAAAAGTAATGTAGTAAGGAACCCGGTGATCTAGTCGTAAAACTATTAATGAACCTGCCACTGGCATTGCACCACTGGGTACTGAGTATTTGTTAGTGGACATTGGTTTTAGTAATTTATCCGTAGCAAATTACGATGAGTTATCCTCGGTGGAGGTGCGCACGTCACAACATATAAGAATAACTCGTCCGTCTAACGTGCTTAGATGTTCAGAGAGTACGGTAGTAGTGCGGAGGTGCTGTTACCAACAAGTGGATAGGATTCGTAGATCTGTATGCTCCTACAGATGGGATTAGCACACTCACGCATGTCCATTAGTGAGAGTGAGTTAGGATGCACGTCGCATACCAGTTCTACACGACCCACCCATTCGTAACCACATCTGAAACCGTACCAGTGAAGAAGTTGGTGCTAAGATTACCCGAAATGCGAAATCTGACGACTTATGTCTACGAAGAGCTCTTTATAACGATGATTTCAGCAGGAATACTTGAAATTACGTCTATGATTAATTGTGTAAAGTTCAACACTTACCGCTTGCAGACAACATGTACCTTCGGCCGATCGCATATACATACGCCTTTTAGTGGAAATGGAAGTGGACAGAACGTATTCGGCCTGGTTAGTGGTCCGCGAGGAGCGTTAACGATTCTAGGGGTGAACGGCTTCGACTGAGTGGTCCGACAATTTGGTGTCGCCGGAGGTTGTTGTTCAGTGATTCTTGGTGCACGACGCTTCTCCTGCTTTTGTTTCTTTTTTTTTAAAGTAAGACAGTATGATTTTAACATTTTAGCGGTTGTTCCGGACTCACGTTATGAGAATCGATTTTCGGCAGGAGATCAGCCATTAAAGGACGTGGTTCGATATGAGTTTTGAGTACGGTTTTTTTCGACGAGATTCGAACCTAGGAGGGATTCATTTTAAGATGAACTCATCGAAAAAAGTGGGGAAAGCTGCCTATCACGACTAGTATACGTCAAATGCCTTAATTTAGGCTAAGACAACATGACTAATGTATAATGAAGCACATGATACTAATACCTAATTGCTAAAGCAACAAGTTAGGTAAGGTAAGACGGCACTAGAAGTAGTAAGGTAATAAGGTAGTAAACAGATAATAAGGTATCTCTCTATATACTATAGGTAGCAATAAGGTAATAAGGCATCTTTTTATGTGCTACCTTGTCTTGATGGATAATTCATTGAGTTATCCTTTCTGGCAATTATGATGAGTAGCTAGTACTTTTTGTTTGTGTGCACTTTTTTTCGCAATAATTGTTGATTATAATAAGAGATGAAAACGTGTGTGGCACGGTGGTCGGAGGCGACCTGCAACACACACGTGGAATCGATCCCCGCGTCTATGGCCCACCAAGCCTCACATCCCTCCGGGGTGGGCAAATTGGTACTCTGGGAGGATAGCAACACAGGCTCTATACACCGGTAGGCCATCGCGAGTCATTGTAAATGTCAGATATGCATTCAATCACCTCCAAACGATGCTTAACGAAGTCGAATCCATGGCGCATTCATTAGAGATTGATCAACGCGGAGAGCTTTATCCTTTCTTATCCTTTATAGTAAAAAATTAACTTCAGAAATGCGTAAAACGTCGTAATTTTCAAGTGGATTTTGCGATACTTCTAGTACTAAAGCTAGTTACAAAACAATTTTCCTTCGAAACAACTCTATACGGAACGACGCTGACTTAATTTGTGAAGTGAACTAGACGTAGGTGCGTTTTGTTTTAAGACATAAGTTTCCTTGAGTCATGGAACCCTTATGTCGAAGAGTTTCAAAGTGCTCCGCGCCATAAACATGTACAACATGGAATCCTAAGCGTTGTTTTACCAGTAGTCGCAAGAATTAAGAGTGGTTACTCGATTGGTCTCATAACTCAGATGGTATGCTCCTTTTGCCAATATCCTGTATACCATTACACCTTCATTAAAGCTTATTTCGTTCACTAGGAAACACTTCGGGGACTGGACTATTGATAAAGGGTAAACGATAAAGCAGTGGACATCCCTATCCCTGAGAGATGCATCATGCATTCAACTTTATTAAGCAGAGGTTAGAAGTGATTGAATTGAATTAAATGCATATCTGGAATATACAGTGATTCGCGGTAGTCCTCGATGAGTCAAATTAGTGCCGCCATCCTCTAAGACAGGTCTGGTACCACTAATCTGTCGATCCTGGACAGGTGATGAGCTCTGTGGGCCCAAGCGCGGCATCTAAACAAAAACCATGCCTATATTTACGGTGCACTTCTAACCACTGCGCTATACGCACCCCTAAACTATTGAACCTAGTGTGAATCAGATGAATCAGGTCGCGGGTTTTTTGTCTTTTTTTGCCTTAAACAGAAATAAAAGTGAACTGAACTTCGGGTGATGCACTGTCATGGGTGCAGATGACGTTTCGGACTTCATTTTTTTTCGTTACCTAATATTAACACGTGTAACTCCCACGACCGACTTTCTATTAACCTCGGCACTGATCAAGTAATTCTTCGTATTCTTGTTAAGCAAACGCGAGGGGTTATTTTATTTCTTTATTTACGCACAAACTGGCGTTTCGGCTGATTTCGCCTTCCTCAGAGCCTGGAAAGGTCAAGTTGATAGCAATCTATTCGGGGCACATTACACTTCCATGTGAATTCTGTGCGGTTGGTCTTCACGCGACATACTCAGTGGAGGCCTCATAGAAAGCGGTGAGTGTGCAAAGCTGTGTTCGATATGATTGAAATCTTGGTTTAGCGTTTTCTCTGTTTGGTTATGGAGGTGTTTGAACGAATAGATTGCTATCAACTTGACCTTTCCAAGCTCTGAGGAAGGCGAAATCCGCCGAAAGGTCAGCTTATTCGTGAATAAAGAATGAAAGTAACACCTCGCGTTTGCTCAACAAGAATACGAAGAATTAACACGTGTAGATTTTGAAAGCATCCATATAGAAGTTTTCATTTTTGCTTATACTAGCATTAGGCGCGTGTAGCAAAGTGGTCAAAAGCGCCCTACAATACATATGGAATCGATCTCCACGCCCCAGGCTCACCAAGCCTTCCATCCCTTGGGATCAACAAATTGTAACAAGACTTATTTGGGAGGAGAGCAGCACTGGGTCGATACATCAGTATGACACCACCAATCATTGTAAAGGCCAGATATGCATTTATCATCTCTAACGATATTTAATGAAGTCGAATGCATGCACGGCGCATCCCTCAGGATTGATCAAGGCAGAGAGCTTTATCTCTTATCCTTTACTAGCATTAGAAGAGTTTGGAATCTTGGTACACCTAGATAAAAATCCAATAAAAGTAGTAACAGATAATAACCACCTGGTAAAAGAAACCTAGGTAAAACACTGATCTCACCTCGTTTAAAGCTCACTGGATGCAACTAGCCCTAATTCAAACAGATGTGACTTAACGTTTTTAATAAGTGTAAAATCCAGAATATAAAAATTGCTATTCCCTTGTTTTCAATTTTCATAAAGAAAGTTACATATGCAAAGCAAGAAACTCAGTGCCAATCCGAAGTCAAGAGGTCAAACAGAAAAAGAGATAATGTAAATAACAAAACCTCAAATGCTGAGATATGAGCAAAACTCGTAACCTAAGGTGGTCTTCGAACGCGCGAGCATCCTTTTCGGGGGCTCAAGTGTTATCCGCTGCACCAACGGAGGCTCTTTCTTTGCCTTCTCTCAGCCCATTTCAACGGTACTCTCAGCGGTCAGTCGTCAACTGGAATGGGCAGAAAAGGCAAAACAAGGGCCTTAGTTGGCGTGGTGGATAGCATGTGAGCCCTCCGGAAGGATAATCGCGGCCTTAAAAACCCACCTGAGGTCCAGAGTTTTGCTCATATCTCAGTATTCTTGCGTCTGTATTTCAGATAATAGTCTGCCGTGGAAAAAGAATAGGCAGCAAATAAAAGTACAACATAGTGATTCTGTAATATTTCATACTAGGAAATAAAAACTTGAAAATTAACAAGAAGGCAAAAAACAGCTCTATTTGAGATTTTACTCTGTTCAGATCTGCAGAACTAACGCCAAGCACTTTTTCAACCACCTCATTGCTTGATCGTGGCCTTGGTGTAATCTGCAGTCCATCCGGTTGACCGGCGAAACCTTCCACGGATTTACCGTCTGTGCTAACCGGATATAGACCGCGACCACCCTCCAGAAGTCGACGCGGCACGTAATAGGCTTGCGTAGGGCGTGAATTGCTGAAAAAAAATTAGACTTCCACCGTAGTTTGGATGTGATTAAGGCTTGAATCCGACGAAATAGACGACGTATTGAACAAGCAAGTAGGGTGTGCCATGTGTTCTTAATAGTCCGATCTGTTGAAGAGTTCCTGGCTTTGGTTTGGCTGTGAGAAGATCCAGTAGCGCAAAATCAAGACCGGAACGGCGGCAGTGTCGCTACGCAACCGATTTGTTTAACTCATGTTTTTAACATAATCCAGTACTTCAGTAAACTCACGAGAGCGGTCTCATTGGGGCGGAGATATCCATTACCTAGAATTTTACAATTATAAGATAACAATTGCCATGAACTTTTAAGAGAATGTCGGAATTTATGAAGTGAGAATATTCAACGATATAATGAAAATACTCGCGATTTTCCATAGGGCGGTCACGCTAAGGTATTCGATTTCAGAAACAAGTAGAAGAAGCACTGAATGCTCCCGAAATACAACTCTTATTGGTATTTCGCCTTCATAAATAACTTCACGAAAATCTGTCGAACGCTAAGGTTCAGTCGATTCTAAAGGGTTTAGTATAAACACAGATGACTATTAATTACAGAACTAATGCGAATCTGTAACTGATCAGCAGCTGATGGGAACAAGAGGTGAAGGTCTCTCTCTATTTAAAGGAAAACCTTTAAAACTTTAGAACAGAAAAAGTGGCACCGTTTAGTGTTCAATTCCCTATTGTGTGCTAACCACAAGGATTCCCTAGTTTCAAAGAGTTTTCTAAGATTTTGAATTCCTCACTGGACGGCAGAAGATGAGATTGCTGCTTAGTTTGCGAGCCTTGGTGATAGAATACTACAATCTAATCCTTCGAGAATATTCGAAAAATTGGTGCGGGGCTAAAGATTTGGAGCACGGGTGAAGACGACGGTGGTGTTGATGATAAGCACGAAGCTTCTCACTCCTAGAGTAGAAATTGGTGCTATGAAAAGTGATAAATGGAGAATGAAAGTGAAGTAGGATGGAGAACGAAAGATATGAATGGTAGCGTCGCCACATTTTTTTTTACCTTCGTTGATTGGTTGTTGATAAATCGGACTACGACAGAATAGATTCCCATCAAAAAAGCAGATAATCTTCTATGGACAGTTAATCAAGAACCGTCATGTATGAGAGGGCACCGCCAGACGATCTTGTTTCATTCGTGGTGCAATGTTTCATTTAACCCAATTCGATTCCATTGTAGCTCTAAAACATTGCAAACACATCGGGAACTGTTGCAATGTTAGCCACAGTCAACATTTAAGTGCTGCAAGCTCATCACTAGCACTTACGCTACGATGTGACCTCCATAGGAATCACAAAATGCGGAAAAAAAACTTTTTTACGTGACCTGTCTCTCACATCTACTGTGTGGACTCCGACATTTCTTGCATTCCATTCATTTCTTCTCATCTATCATCCACGAAGATCTTCCAACTTTACACGTGGATTCAGTTCCTGCCTGACGATTTTCATTTCATCTTGAATGTCGTAGAATGCTGGTCGAGTCGATGATAATTTTTGGAGCTCTGAGACAGCTGAACAGAGTGTTCTCAGATAGATTGCAGAGTGAGCTTTTTCAGACAAGTCTGGTACCAATTTTTCGACCACGGGAAAATGACAAGCTTGGTGAGCCCGATGTTCTCAACCTTATATCTACATAACGCATCTACAGCGCGAGTGTAGCGCAGTTGTGGATAGGTATTCTGCAGTACACACTGGATCTGCCACAAGTTCAATCGCGCACCTCGGGCTCAACAAACCTTCCATCGCTCCGGTGTCGGCGAATTGATAGCCGGACAGACCTGTTCGGGAAGATAGAGTAGCAATGACTCGATACAAGAGTAGGTCGGTAGGTCAGCAAGAGTCAATGCATAGGCAAGATATGCGTCCAACCACCTCTAACGCTGCTTGCTGAAGTCGAATGCATGGCGCATCCCTCAGGGATTGATCAACGCCGAGAGTTTTATTCTTTATTTCAGCTCGTAACGAATTTTATTGATTGTAATTAAAAAAATGGAATATATAGCTTGGATCTCCGCCTACATCGTAGTAGTCTCCTGACATGTGTTTATTCCAATTCCTTGCTTCAAGACTAGAACACGAGAGTGAACAAGCGGGGTTTTGTCCAGCACGACAATAATGGTGTTCTCCAATATACCGTTGGGTTTTACAAACCTAAATTTCATGGAGCAATTTTTCACTTTGAAGATTGCAGCTCTAAGCAGATTTCAGCTTTAACAGGACACTGTATAAAAACCATATATGTCATTAATGTGACAGAGCAAAGTTCTTCTACAGATCTATAAAGTTCTGGACCCATGAATAAGGATAAGGATAAGGATAAGGCCCTAGCTGTTGATAAATCCCTGACGTAAACGCCATGCATTCGACTTCATTAAGTGTCATTGGAGGTGATTGAATGCATACCTGACCTTTACAATGACTCACGGTGGCCTACCGATGTATCGAGCCAGTGCTGCTATCCTCCCAGACAAGGCTGGTACTAATTTGCCGACCTCGGAGGGATGGAAGGCTTGGTGGGCCATGGAGGCGGGGATCGATTCCGTGTGTGTACCGCAGTGGCGCCTCCAACGACTTCGCCACATCCGCCCTGGACCCTGGACAAGCACTTTATTAATATGGAAATTATCGTTAGTTTTCGAAAAACCACTTCCATCGATGAAGGGTTGACTCATTAGCTATGAAATGTTTTGATTTCAATGCGCGTGCCCGAAACTGATTGCGCTTCCAACTTTACACGAGCGCTTGCCAGCTTATAATGAACTTCATTGATTGAAATGATAACCATTAGAATTTACAAATCGCTGTCGCCATTATCTAGCTTTTATTTTTTACAATGATGAGATTCTGATTGTGTAAAGACCATAAAACTTTCTCCCTGATTTTTTTACCGAGTCTTAAAACAACTGAATGAGGGCGATTTAGCAGGACGGAATGGTGTCCACGAAATGTGCTGTCGATACGTATTCTTTCTTTGATAAGCTTACACGAAGTCGATATATGATCTTTATTCGGCTAACGTTTCGACGGTTTCGCCTCCATCAGAGCCGATGATTCGAATCGATGGTCCACAGTTGTTCGTGATCTCGAGGTAGCGTCTTCGTCGCGCACGACTCTGATGAAGACGAAACAGTCGAAACGTTAGCCGAATAAAGAGCATATGTCTATCTCGTGTAAGCTTATCAAAGAAAGAATACATATCGACTAGTCATGCTGAGGCTAGAGGGAAGTCAGTTTTGAAATATTGTGGTGTCGATATTTGCCAGTACCTTGGCGGGGTGAAAAATTTTCCAGACTTAAATTTTGTTCCAGTTGCCCTAAAGTGTAGCACCTTGGAGGAGTTGTATTACCCATGAAGCCATAGAAAACTGTCTGTATTGCCTGAAAATCAGGTTCATAATTCTTCACGTGCACTGGTAAGTGTCGTCGGGAATGTTTTTAACTAGAATATCGTCGCATCACTAACCGATAGGCCACGAATTTCGAAACAGAACCTTGTTTGCACAGAAATTAGAGAAATGCACTACGCATAATTCATATTGAGGGAATACATATGAAATAAAGGAATAAGTTCCAGCAGTACACCAATCTCGTAGAGGTGTCGATGCATTACGGTAATGAAAGCGGATGTTGTATATGGAGCGAATAATGAACACCAGCCAATACAGGCCGCTGTAACGACTTTCCCAAACCAATTCGTTACGAATTCAACGGTTCATAGGAGAAGGGCGTTCTTGGAGGGGAACGCACCAAACGACATATGATGGGCTAGTGTGGGAACCTGAAGTGGCTGCCTCATTCTACCGTCTGTCACTGATAAATGAGAAAAAACTGTTAACAAGAATAATGCACACCAATGTTAGAAATCGGAAATACACCATTTGCATGGATAGATTTCTTTTGAGTCCGGTCAGCTTTATGACGAGAAAATGAGAGACTATGGATCAGCGTTATTGTTACGATGAGTCAGTGGACAGGCAGAAAGTGCATCCATTATCGTCATAGCTATTGTGACGTTTGTTCACGCAGAAAATCGATTCCGTTCGTGGCTATAGAGATTGGTCTGAGGATTCGGACTTAACTGAAACATTTGGGTAGCTTGGTAAAGAAAAATCAGCTAACGAAGCATACTGGAAGAAGCTCGATTATCAAATGCGATGTTCGCCATGACTCAGTTCCAGGCTGAGAAGACGGTGAAATCTACCAAAAACATTAGTCATAGTAAGATAAAGGATAAAGGATGAAGCGTTATGTGTTGGGAAGAATGGAACAGGGGGATGGAAGTCATATTGACTCCAAGGCATGAGATCGAAACATATACCACATGTGTATTGCGCGGGAACCCTAATATTAACAATATCGGGTGGGTGAGCTTTTTAAGAACTCAATCTTTGTTGTCTTGTTTCCAGCGAAGAATTAGTGTGGACTGGCAGAGATTAAGTGAGTATTTTAAGCAGCCGAAGCAAATCTTCTAGCAACCGACTGGCTCTGAATGGATGAAGTATTCCGTGGCCCGAGAGTGGAAGTGGCCATAAGGGATTTTGTTTACAAGAATAGCAAGAAGAACTGATTGGACATAACCGAAAAGTAAATTATGACATAGAGACGTTGTAACGATTCTTAACGCTCTAAGGATGGGATTAATATATTAACGATCCGTAGAACGATATATTACGATATTTTATATTTATATATATATACATATATATATATATATATATATATAACGAATCACTATTAAATTACTACGATAGGGAAGTACGGCCAGGAAGTAGATGAAATGCACGAAACATTCCAACGGTTGCAACTAGCACTGATAAGCTGAAAGAAAGCCATCATGGTCTACTTTCTCGTCAGCTCTTTGTCAATTTGCCGTAAAACTCGACAGTTACCTTTGCTTCCCAAGAAAGTCATCAACAACCAAGCTTTGGTAAAAATACATTAAGAATAGCTGCAGATTCCTGAAAACTAGATGTTCTCCGAGATGGAATTACTTGTTCGTCGTTGGCGAAGATGTGCGAATTCCAATCGTTGTTATGATGATTAAGAAAGCAAAAAAAAAAATGAATTGAGATATGTATAATGACAAATGAAAGTTTAAACCTGGAATTATTTCCTAGACTTTCGTAGACGTGTCATTATTGATTTTATTAGTGTTACAGTAGCAATAGTATAAGTAAAAATGAATTCTTTGACATACAACTATTGTTGGCACTAATTCGGAAGAAGTGTAAGTTCAGCGAGCCTACG